TTACTATCACTTTGGGAACTGGGCTTGGTTTTTAGAGGTGTAGTTACCAGGCAGAAGTGTTTCTAGCATACCTGCAGGCACGGGTACTGTGAGTAAGCCACCCATGTCTTGTCTTCTGATTAATTTAGCCTGTGCTGATAGTAACACAGAGAGGGACTGAATGAACACAGAGAGGGCTTGGAATGAAAGTCTGGTCGCAGGACAGGTCTTTGTGGAGGCAGGTCTTCCTCAAAGTTTGCACCTCATAGCAGTTTAACATCAAAATCAACATATAAATGAGACACCAAACTAAATTTCTTTTGACGGTACTCCCTTGCATTCAGAGTTAAGGGACCTCATGAAGAAGGGAAAGTTGAGAAAGCAAGCAAGCCATCCTTTCTGCTAGTTCAGTGTATGAATGCCTCATGCTATTGACAGTCTTGCTTCTTTAATTTATGTGAAAAAGCTTGCAGGAGAATATCCCAGCATCTTGGAATATTAGTGCAATGTATTCCAACACTTTTAATATTAATATCAGAGCCCCACTACAGCTGCGAGCATGTTCCATGTGCTGACTGGACAGCGTAAAATGTGCATCCTAACATGCTGTTCACCTCATCTGACATTTTGCTCATGGTTTATTATTCAATAGTAATGCTTGATTTGGGTTTTCCTGGAGGTGCATACCATGTATTGTAGGCTACACAACAAACAGGTCAACATAATAAATGAATTATTCCTAACACCTATGTGCTTTGAAAACTTATTCCTGACTCTTGTACTCCTGTCACCAAGAATAGCTATGAGTATCCCCTCCTCCATACAATTAGGCAGAAAGCTAAAAATCTTACAAAGAGGTGCAAAACTAGAGCATACATGATACCTTGCACTATTATATAACGTGAAAAAGGTTATTAACAAAGAACTCAAACGAACTCAGAACATGATACCACAGTAAACCGACCTTTGCAAGGTGCTGCTACACAGGCCCCCAGCTTGCACTCTGGCTGCTTTTCTGCTTCAAGCAGCCACAGTGGGTACGTGATTTCTACTGTTCCCTCTTTTGCTGCTTTCGAGCATCTTACATTGCTTCATAAATTTATGTTAACAACCCCTCTCTCTGTGAAAAAATTGCTACCACCCCCTGTGACAGATATGTAATTCAGGCACAAAGACAGAGAGATTCTTCAAATCCATATAAATATTAAAAGCTGCATATAGGTGCTCAGCTGGTTTTCATCAGCTTGGTAAGCATCTGTCAGTGACTTGAGGCAACTACATGCTCAGATGCTTTGGATTTGATGTGGATAGGCTACAGATCCTATCTTTCCTGGCACCATGGAGCAAAGCAGTGAACTCGGCCTCCTGAATTCTGGTCAGTGTCCTCTAACATGGCTGGTCTTCCTTTCCCTCTTTGTTTTTACCCTGTAACAAAGTTCTTCTTCTATTACTATCTACCCTGTGTCATAATTAAACCAAGTGTATTTCAGTATTCCTGTTACCTATTTACAAACTTAGTCATTGTGAAGGCTTGCTTAAAATTCTAGTGTAGCTATCCCCAAAACTGCCTTAGTAGATGCCTTAGAAAATAAGTGTATGAGCTCCAGCAAAAAAAAAAAAAAAGTTATAAATAAGGGAATAAGAGACTACCATTGCTGTTTAAATTGCTTCCTCTCTTTAAGTAAAATAAAACCAGAAACATTGATGTAAGACAATATATCAAAAGTAACTCATTGGAAAGAAACCCCTGAAAATACCAAACATATGTGACATTTGGTTCCTGATCAAAAATGATTATATGTATCAACTGATCCTTCCAAAAGTCAGGATATGTAACATTTGATGTACACATTTGGAAAATGCAATTCAATCTTGAAACCTGTCTTTTAAAATCCAGAAGAATATGTTGCTGGTATTTGCCATAAAGCTCAGCAATAGTGACTCTAAAGCTGCACTTTAGCATGCCATTTTCCTTGTCCCTCTGCAGGTGTGATATACTGTACCTGCAGCCTTGAGAAGCCAAGATTCCTTGGGATGTTCTTGCCTTGGAGATTTCGTCAAGTAGATCCTCTTACTGACATCTGAACCCAGGATGACCTTGGACCATGCGGACATGCTAGAATTTCACACGACTCATCTCTGGAGGTATTATATAGTCTGAAGCCAAAATATCAGGGGAATTTGTTGTCCTATAAATACAGACCTGTATTTTGCAATAAATACTTAGATGAGAACTAGCTTTGTTGCATAGCACAGCCCCTGTGCCTGCCAGAGGGCTGGCAGCTGCCTGGTCTCCATATTCAACCAGCAGATCATGCCCTGGTTATCTGACATATGAACAAGTAGGGATAAAAATAATTACCATAAATGTCTTCTCATAATACATACTTTTAAAAGGATTTATTTAATAACAGATAACAGATGGGAAAATACACTTGTTCCCACACTGTAAAAATTAAAAAATTCATCACTAAGTGTATTACTTTTGTTAGCTTCTAGTTCTTCTGGAATCTATGGCTACATTTCAATATTGGCTTAGTTTGTGCTCACCGACTGTTTTCCTTATGATTATTTAAATTAATTGATGATTTTAAGCACCACTAGAGGGCACAGAATTATAACAGTATTTCTTAATGGATCACAAAAAGTACATCAGGAACTGGAGTTCAGTAATGTTCATAGTTTATTGGCCCAATCCTCAGTTTAAAGCCTCATTTCTATCAACAGTGATGCCCGTGTGCTGCTGTGAGCTGTGCCATTGCCCACACCAGCAATTAAACAAAGCTCAGGGGTTAGTGCCCCTGGGACAGAGGCCTGGCTCAGTGGGTTGAACTGACTATGTGCTCTCAGTTGAAGTTTGGCTTTCCAGAATTTCAGGATCAGCCCCCAAATCAAAGTGACTAAGGCCACTAGAGTTTAAATCTAAGCATGATTCTGGAGGAGTGGCTGATGGTAAAGGCATGCTGTACATCTTCAGCTGTAAATGAGTACACAGGGATGAGAAAAATGAAGAGTATAAACACTTGCGTATATCAAACCAGGGAAATGCAAACAAGTAGTAAATGAAGGATTAACTAACACAATTTACAATTCAAAGAAAGAAGAGTAGATATGTGCCACTGGAAAGCTTAAATATTAATGGGATTTCTGTGGATAGTTGTATCAACTACTTAACATCTGTTTTGACATGTGTGCTGTTTCTGCCATCCCTTATCACGAGTCTGAGTGGCCACTGTGGTTCACATGTTAAAAAGTTCCTGTCTAAACTGGCCTGCAGTGGAGGAGAAAGTGTAGGGAAGACAGGAGGACGTTTAAACTCATCATTCAAAGACATCTGATTGAGTGGCATTGGACACACTGTAGCAACGAATTACTACTGGTGATGTGTCCATGTTGCATTAGTAGGGACACAAGTTAATGTTCACTGCCAGAATGTGAAATGAGTCTTACAGTTTCTTCTTTTCTGGGAGTTGAAGACCATGCGTTAATCGAAGCTCAAGAGCCTGGCCTCTAACTAGCCAGCACAAAGGAAAAAAACCCCGAAAATTAATTTCTGAATGTTTCTATTGAATTTCGCTTAACATTAGCATACACCTTACTGTTTTTCATTAACACTTCAGGAATTAGTGTCACGTTTTCACATCGTGGCGCTCAGGCTGCAAAACCAGTGACATGCAGCTATTTCTCGTGAAGTGGGTGCCGAAGTGCCGGGGGCGGCTCGTCCTGTCCCCGGGGCAGCGCGGGGCTCCCAGGCATCGCCGGGGCACGGCCGGCGCTGCCGAGCTGCGGCCCCAGGAGCGGCACGGGCGGCGATTGCCGTGCCAGGCGGCCGCGGGGTGCGGGGGGAGTGCTGGGGGATGGCCGGGGGTCGCCCGCCGAGCACGGGCGATAACCCACGGGCAAAGCGGGCGCGGTGCGGAGGCCGGGCGGGCAGCGCGGTGCAGCAGCGCCTGCGGGTGCCTGGGTGGGTGGTGTTTTTTTCCGCAAGCTCACCTTGATGCGGCGGGGCGTAAAAGGGCCGCGCTCGGCAGGGGGAGCATCGCTGTCTCGGCGCAGCGCGGACACCGAGCGGCGGCACCGCTGCGCTCCGGCCGCACCGCGCCGGGGCCGGAGCTGACGGGGGCCGTGGGGGAGCCCGCGGGAAGGGCAGGCCGGGCGCTGCCCCTGGGATCTGCTGTCTCGCCGCCGCACGAGGCCGGGACACGGCGGAAGCGCCGGAGCGGCGTGCCGGGCCGCGCCGCCCCCTCGGGGGGACACCCGGCGGCTCGTCTGCGCTGCCCCGCCCGGGCCAGCCGCGCTCCCTGCCGCAGAGGGGGTCCCGCCGCCGGCCGATCCTCCCCCGCGCCGCCGCCGGGACTTACGGCACTTTTGTTACTTTCTCGGACTTACATGGACATTTCCCGGGAGCGCGCGTAGAACGCGGGCGCCGCGTCCCGCCAGCCGCTCTCCGCCCGCCTCACCGCGGGCACTGCCGCTGCCTCTGCCGCTCCCTCCCCGGGACGCGAAGGCTCCCGGCGGCGCGGCCCCCGCCTGCCCCCACCGGCCCGCCCGCCTCGCCGACTTTCTCCGCCGCTCGGAGCGAGAGCAACAGCTTGCCCGGCCCGGCCGAGCCAAACGACGCGGGAGGCAGCGAGGGAGCGGGCGGCGGCGGGCACCGCCGAGCCGCGGCCTCTCCGCCGGAGCCGCGAGGAGCTGCCCTCCCTCCCTCCTCCCCGTCCCGGGCCGCGGAGCCACGCCGGGCGGCGCTGCGGGGACCGGCGGCGGGGCCCCGCCGCCCGGGAGGAGAGCGCGCCCGGGGGGGCGCCCGCTCCCTCGCCGGGGCCCCCGCGAAGCTGCCGCAGGCCGGCCCGCCGCGCCGGGCGCCCAAAGTGGCCCGCGCCCCCGCGCCCCGCGGGCGCCGCCCGGAGACCCTCGGCCCCCGCTGCCTCTTGCGGGCTGCTGCCGCGGGGTGCCTGGCCGCCGCCGCCCGCGCCCTGCTCCGCCGCGGCCCCGGCGCCCGCTCCGGCGCCCGGGGTGATGCCATGCCCCGCAACCACGGCGGCGGGGAGGAGGGCGGCTCCGCGGGGCTCTGGGTGAAGAGTGGCGCGGCAGCTGGCATGAAGGATGTGGAGTCGGGCCGGGGCAGGGCGCTGACGAGCTCAGCGGCCCGCGGCGACGGCCTGCTGCTCCTGGGCACCGGCGGCGCGGCCGCCCCCGCCGGGCTGCGGGAGGGCCGCCGCGAGAAGCACGGCGCCCGCATGAGCCTGCTGGGGAAGCCGCTGTCTTACAGCAGCGGACCGAGCTGCCGCAGGAACGCCAAGTACCGCCGCCTGCAGAACTACCTGTACAACGTGCTGGAGCGGCCCCGCGGATGGGCCTTCGTCTACCACGCCTTCGTGTGAGTACCGACCCGCTCCCCTCTCCTCCCGTCCTGTCGCGTCCTGTTCTGTCCCGACCCCTCCCGTTTGTTCCACGGGCTGCCTCCCACATTTGTCCTGAGCAGCGCCCCGCTGCACGGCGCGGCTGGTACCTCCCCGCCTGCCCCTCCGGTCCCCGGGCATCACTCCTGCCGGGACACGGGGAGGACGAGTATCCCGCGAGTCGCGCCGAAAGTGCCCGGGAGGAGTCAGCGGAGGAGCGGGAGCCGCTGCCACCTGCGGCGCGGCTCTCCGCGGGCGGCGGGAAATCCCGCACAGCCCTAGGAGGGAGGTGATGGGGGGAAAGCTCGATTCACTCGGCAGAGAACCTGCGGGGAGCACGGCGGGGAGCACATGCTCGCTGGTCTCCCGGGCGCCCGAGGCAGCCGGTTTGCGCGGGGGGAGACTGCGCGGCGCTCCCGCTGATGCCGCACTCCGGCCTCGAGATTAGACGGAGCCAGGGGTGCCGGCGGCTGCCGGGTGCTCCCCGCGGCGGCGGGGCGCACTGGGTACTCCAGCGGTACCCGCGGCCCCTGTCCTGCCGAGCGGACACCGAGCGCTGCGCGGTTTGAAAAGTTACCGCCGCGGAGCCGCAGCGCTCGGTTCTGCCTCCAGAGTGTTTTCCGGGCGCGCCTGGTCCCCGCCTCGCAGGGAGTGCGGGTGACGGCGCCTTCCCACGCGGGTGCTCGCCGCGGGATGCTGCGCCTCAGGTGCGGCCACCTGCCGCTGGCAGCGTGCAGCGAGCGGCCGCCGGTGCCTGCCGCTGCTGAGCTTTGATCTCAGCAAGTGACGGTTCCTGTCCCACTCATCCTGAAAAAGCCCGTGAGGGAAATATATGTTCCGTCCCATCTCTCAGCGGAGAGCGGTACTGTCACCGCGCTGAGAACCTTGTGCTGCTTTAACTTCAAGAGGCTTGCCTGGGACACCTGTGCGAGGGGACCCGTGGCTGTCGCTGCTTGCAGTATCCTTGGGGTCAGCCATGCTCCTCAGTTCATTAGCAATCCTCTGTTTTTATGGGGTTTGTTAGTATTCGGGGGAAAGGCCCTACTCAAAATCCTTTTTGATGGCTGAGCAAAACATGCAGCAAAGTCTGTCAAGGAGCCGTAACAGTGGATCATATTTATGGGTGAAAACGTGATCAACTACAGAGGAAGGAAGTTAAGCATTCCTGTATTGGGGATATAACACAATTTATTGTTATGTCTGACTGTAGGAAATACATCATAAACGAATCAGAATATTTAACTGATAAGCTGTAAGTAACTGTATTTGTTCCATGATAGTCATGGAAATCAAGCTAGCGGCTGCAGCATCTTGGCTAAAAAAGCAACTGTTCCCTAAAAGCTGTTTGACAGCATAAATAGTGCTCCTCTCCCAGCAGTAGGGGAACCCTCAAATCTTACTTTAAAAGCAGCTGTTGTAGGTAAAAGTGTGCCAAAAACATGGCAGTCTGATTAATAAGGTACTTTGTGGATAGATTCATTTAGTAGATGACAATTACTATAGACAGCAAGTAATAGAAATGTGCTTTATGTCATATATTATTCAGTAAAAGGATTTTTGTCCACTTAGAGGATCTTCCCATTATTTCTGTTTTACTCTTAAAATCAACTCTTACACCCAAAATGTTCTTCTTGGAGGGCATTTATTTGGTACATTTTGCTGTCTGGGTCCTTACAGGTGTTTTCCTGTGGCCTAGATGGATGTTAATTAGTATGGCAACAACCACCAAAATATGTACTAGGAATCATTTTATGTCAGTGCCTGAAGTTGCCAGCCAAAATATTCAAATTATAGTTTTCGACCTTTTTGTTTGAGTTCATGATAGAAATCTTTAAAACCAGAAAAGTTCGAGTTGGAAATACAGCCGAGAAGTTTAAACCTTAAAAAAAAAAAAAAAAAAAAAAAAAAAGGTGGTAAATTTCCAAACGGAGTGAAGTCATGACACAGCAGCGCTGTAAACAAGGAAGATTGCCAGCTGCGTTTAGATAATTGCCTGCATAGAAAGAGTGCCAGTTTTAATTTTTAATTGCAAATGGCAATTTTGGCAAATGTAATGCCAGCATTACATCTTTTATCTGAACAGATCTGTGTGAAAGAGCTTGAAACACTACTGTAGTATAAGACACCTAGTAATAATATTACCTTAAAGTATCTGTCACTGATACAGTGTTTAAGGTGCATTTGAAGTTCCATTGGATTTCAGTTTGACAGCCATCCTTGTTGCCAGTGATGCCGCAGTCTACAAATTATTTTAATGTGTTTGTATAATTCTGATTTAATCACAGTCAGATAATAGTATCATATTTATGGTGTTCCAGGCTCATTTTTTTCCAGCCACTTGATTGAATATAGTTGCATCTTGGAAAACAGACTTTCTTACAGAATTAAAAACCAAACCAAAACAAAAAAGCCACAGCTATTTGAGAAAAGAAGTCTTGAGACGAGCAGCTTAGAGTTGCAAAGACATTACAAAGTACGTGGAGGAGATGTCTGTTTCTACCAGTGCTAAGCTATTCTTGACTGCAGTGGAGCCCGTTATAGCTCTGTACTATTCCTGTTACAGGAATGGGCTATCTGGGGTGAGACCTTTTCAGTAGATCATTGGTCTCCTGAAACCTCACTCTGATATGCAGGTTGAAGTCATGCAGGGGTGGCTACAGAATTTTGGTTCTAAAGGCTTTGATCTACCAGTTTAGATTTGTATGTTTGTTTTTTAAATAAGAACTGGGTAATTAAAGATTTGTTACAAATAAGAAATCATTCATGCAGTGATATCAGTGATATTTTAATGTATCACTCCCATAGGGAAAAACACTTCAGAGCTGAGAAGTATGCCCAGTTAACTCTTCTTTTTTGTTCTTGCCCTTTCAAATAAGATAAAAATAGGCCAGCCACCTAAGGAATGAGTGTTGTGACCTACATTCAGAAGTCAATTGGTTAGTTTATTTGTAAATACAAACCTGCCAGATTCTAGAAAAGACAGCTATTTTGCAAACTTCTGCAGCTAGGGGAAGAAGTTGCTCTTGAGCAAAGGCCTTTGATTTCAGTAAAGTTGTGCTGGGGAGCAGAGCCATAAATGACATTTTTCTTGAATCCTTTTTTGTATGCCTCAGTAGTTCTTTACATTGAAACTCCTATTAAAATTTAAGATCTTTCCTGCAAGTTTTTGAAAACCTTTATTTCAGATACTGCTTTATGCCACACCACATCACCTACACGTGGAGCCATGTGCATATTTAACACGTGTGCTTACTTTAAAAGGCTGTGATATTGTAACTTTTCAAAAGCATTGTCTTGGAATGTCACAGGATTTCTTTGTGTTATTGCTATTGCAGTTTATTATGGCTTGTTTGGTGTGATAAAAATGTGCAGCCATTGCCTTAGAATGATCAAAGGGGAATTCCAGATTTGTTGCAAATTTAACTCTGGGTTTCATCTTCAGTTATCATAAGGGCTTTGTATTATTTTTGTTCTTAATTGACATTCTGAAAATGAGATGGCATGAGATGTTCAGAAAAAAAATACTGCTCTTTGATACTGTTTATACTGGTAGGATATAATTAGTTGCATAAGTTTCCTAATTTAACATGTTGGATTTATTTCAGGAATAGTAAAGTTCCTGTTTCTTACTGACTTCTTTGTAATGTATTCCATGCAGAAGTCTTTGACGTTTGTTGTGGGGATGTCCTTCTCTTTACAAAGCTACCAACTTTTGCTCTGGAAGCTTCTGAATTCCAAATCACACATCTGGATGTGTGCACAAGGATGGTAGCACGTTGCATGGCCTGTATTGATAGGTTTTCATGGACATCCCCCACTGACCACTGCAGAAGAAAAGATGCAGTGTTAGCTGAATTGCAAGAGCCTGTATGGTATTATTCTTGTCTTTTGCGTTATTGGTGGAAAAAAGACCGAAAAATTATTTCTGGAAAAAATGTAATGATGCTATCAAAGATTTAACTAGCTATTTTATCCTTCCAGATCTGCTGGAAAGGATATAGCTCAGAAATGATCAGGATGGCTATTGACCAGCAGGTCTTTGCATGTGAGCTAACAGAGCTGCATCACACCGTGCCCTTGGTATAATAATGGAGGCTCCGTATTCTGATTAGAAAACCAGTCATGTGCAACACCCAAAGGACTTGCTTGTTCTCATGCTATGAAAGTAGGAGAAATTATTTTATTTCTTTCTTTTTTCCATCTTCTGGCAACTAATGAACTAGTTCCAGGTGCTTTATGGGTAACTCTCCAGCTTTCATCTTTTCAGACACCATTTCAGAGTCAGGATCTGTTGCTGTTAGGGTAACAATATATTTCTATATGTTTGTAAAAACAATATATTTCTATATGTTTGTAAAAACAAATAAAAACATGATATTTACAATTAACAAACAACAGCGTTGACGACATAAATATGTAGCAAATCAAGTCTTATTAGGTGCTGAGGAGTTACAAATTTAAAACTCTTTAACTGTAGCACACAAACCTTAGTAGCACTTTCTTTCAGGTACAATGAATTAAAGTGGATATTTAGATGCCCTTCAGCAGTGATTTGCTTCATTTGAAGCAGTCTGTGATTCTATACATGTGCATATTTCTCACCTACACATTGTTTGGAAGGAACCTTAGGAAGTTACTCAGTCCAGCTGGGAGATACACTTTTCCCAGTCGTGTGATGTGGCTTTGTCTAGACAGGTCCTAAATTTCCCTGGATGAAAATCCCACCACCTTGCTGAATAACCTGCAGGTCTGCAACCTGTCTGTTGAAAAAAGAGGGGGTTTGACATGGGGAGGGAAGAATGGAAGAGCCACCCTGAACCTCCCAAGTGGCAATTTATGGTCATTGTCCCTTTATATATGTTCTGTCATTGCTGAGAAGATTCTGGCTTCTTTATCATTTTGATTTACCTTCAAGCAGATGTAGGCTACTTGAAGGGTCACCTGTTAGATCACCCTTCTGTCAGACCAAACATGCTCA